TCATTGATTTTTCCGGCCCATGGTTATTCCAGTAAAGCCAGCAAACAAACAACATAATTTTAAAAAGTCACAAGCCAAGTGATCCAAAACACAAAAGCAAATTACTTTACTTCGTGTGATCCCCACCATGACATTTATACATTTTCTTACTGGCAAATCTTGAGGCATTCTATCTGACATATCTTCTGGCATTCTATTTGGCATTCTATCTGGCATATCTTCTGGCATATCTTCTGGCATTCTATCTGGCAAATCTTCTGGCATTCTATCTGGCATATCTTCTGGCATTCTATCTGACATATCTTATGGCATTCTATCTGGCATTCTATCTGGCATATCTTCTGGCATATATTCTGACATATCTTCTGGCATTCTATCTGGCATATCTTCTGGCATATCTTGACATTCTCTGGCATCTATCTGGCAAATCTTCTGGCATTCTATCTGGCATATCTTCTGGCATTCTATCTGGCATATCTTCTGGCATTCTATCTGACATATCTTCTGGCATTCTATCTGGCATTCTATCTGGCATTCTATCTGGCATTCTATCTGACATGAGGTCCGGCAGGGAACACTTGGCGTGGATACTCGCGGTTGAGGTCCGGCAGGGAACACTGGGCGTGGATGGTCGTGGTTGAGGTCCGGCAGGGAACACTGGGCGGGGATGGTCGTGGTTGAGGTCCGGCAGGGAACACTGGGCGTGGATGGTCGTGGTTGAGGTCCGGCAGGGAACACTGGGCGTGGATGGTCGTGGTTGAGGTCCGACAGAGAACACTGTGGATCGCGGGTCGCAGTTGGACGAGGACGACGAGGACGACGAGGAGGACGAGGACGACGAGGAGGACGAGGAGGAGAGGACGAGGAGGAGGAGGACGAGGAGGACGAGGCACGAGGCGGCAGGAGGCGGAAGGAGGCAACTAACATAAAATCTAACAACCCTCACCTGGCAGGTGGGGAAAAAACACAGAAGCCAAAGAAGCCACAAGAGCCACAGAAGAGATAACAAACCACAGAAGCCATAGCCACAGAAGCCAAAGAAGCCACAAGAGCCACAGAAGCCATAACAAGCCACAGAAGCCAAGAAACCAAAGAAGCCGACAAAGCCAACAAAAGAAGTCAACAAAGCCAAAGAAGCCAACAAAGTCAACAAAGCCAAAGAAGTCAACAAAGCCAACAAAGCCAAAGAAGTCAACGAAGTCAACAAAGCCAAAGAAGTCAACAAATCCAAGAATCCAAAGAAAGCAAGAAAGCAAAGGAAGCCAAGGAAACCCAAAAGCCAAGAAGCCACACAGGGCCAGAGGGAATCGGACCCAACCAGGAAAACAAAACAAACACACAAAAAAAAGCACCCGCAAGAAATGGCACTCCCTTTTCAACTAATTAATTATATAGGGACCCTCCAGCCGAAAATGTTCTAACTGCAGCGCACCAAGGCAGTCCAACCCCAAAACAAGTATATGCTGTACAATATAATTTTGACTGTCCAACTCAAATCGGTCCCTCTGTTGATTGTGCGACGCCAACCCATTTAAAAAAAAAAAAGAAACAGTAAAAAACAACCAAGCTGACCATACAAGACCCTATGCCCAAAAAACATCGGAAAACTTCGCAAAAACATGGGAAACATTAAGAACATAGAAAAATAAACAAGCAAATTGAAAGCAGTCATAAAACATTAGAAAAATAAACAAGCATAGCCAAAATGGCCGGCCATACAAGACTTCAAACATGGGAAGCGCCTTGATCTCTACCCGTTTTCTGAAAACATCGGACACATCCGCAAGAACATTGGAAAAATGAAAAAATAATCGAAAACACGGCAAGGTGCCCATACAAGATTTCAAAAACCTGAAAATCCATTATCTATGCCCATTTGTTGAAAACATTGGAAACATGTATTTAAATGCATTTAAGAAAACATTGAGAAAAACATATTTCCAAAACATCGGAAAAGCCAACAAAAACAACCAAAATGGCCATACAAGACTTCAAAAATGGGAAAGCCTTGTTCCATGCCCATTTTCTTGAAACATTGGAGAAACAAACGGCCATAAAAAAAAGTCCAATTTGGGAAAAAGCACAAGATTAGGAAAATCCTGGCAAATACCCAAATAAATACGAACACGATGCTGGACGAAAAAAAATTGCAAACCCTTGAGCAATCAGCTGTAATTACCGGTGTTGAAGAAATGTGCTATCTTGCTAGCCGGTGTTGAGGGGACGTGTTGTCAAGCAAAATGCTGAGGGGATGTGGTGTCATGCAAACCGGTGTTGAGAGTATGCGATATCAAGCAAACCGGTGTTGAGGAGATGGTCAAGCAAACCAGTGTTGAGGTTGTTGAGGGGGTGTGTTATCACGCAAACCCGTGTTGCGGGGATGCGTTATCGAGCAAACTAATCTTAAGGAGATGCGTTATCACGCAAACCGGTGTTGAGGAGATGCGCTATCAAACAACCCTGTGTTGAGGAGATGCGTTATCACGCAAAGCCGCCTTGAGGGGGTGTGGTATCAAGCAAACCGGCGCTGAGGGGATGTGTTATCATGCAAACTGGTGTTGAGGGTATGCGATATCAAGCAAACCGGTGTTGAGGAGATGCGTCACATGTTAGCTGGTGTTGTGGGGATGCGTTGTCAAGCAAACCAGTGTTGAGGTGGTTGAGGGGGGGTGTTATCATGCAAACCCGTGTTGCGGGGATGTGGTATCCAGCAAACCAACGTTAAGGCTAAGGAGATGTGTCATCATGCTAACCGGTGCTGAGGGGAGGCTGCAAACCGGTGTTGAGGGGATGTGTCATGAAAACCAGTGTTGGAGTGATGTGCTACCATGCACACTGGTGTTGAAGGGATGCGCTATCTCGCTAATAGTGTTCAGGGATGTGTGATCAAGCAATCCGGTGTTGAGGGGATGTGTCATCAAACAAGCCAGCGTTGAGGAGATGGGTCATCAGGCAAACCGTGTTGAGGGTATGCGCTATCAAGCAAACCGGTGTTGAGGGGATGTGTGTCATCAAGCAAACTGGTGTTAAGGCGATGTGGTATCAAGCAAACCGGTGTTGACGGGATGCGGTATCAAGCAAAACGGTGTTGAGAGCATGTGTTGTCACGCAAACTGTTGGTGAGAGGATGGGTCATCAAGCGAACCGGTGTTGAGGAGATGTGTTAACAAGCAAGCCGGTGTTGGGATGTGTTGTCACGCAAAGCCGCCTTGAGGGGGCGAGCCATGAAGAAACCGGTGTTGAGGGGACGCGTTATTAAGCAAACCGGTGTTGAAGAGATGCGTTATCACGCAAACTGTTGCTGAGTCTTCAAGCAACCGGGTGTGTGGAGGAAATGTGTTTTTACGCAACCGGGGTTGATGGGTTGTGTAATCATGATTGCGCTAGTTGCGCACTAGTACCTGTCTGTCTATCTCATTGCTCAGTAACCATTGTACAGTGGTTGCTGTAACTGTTTGTTTATTTCATACAGTTTCAATGGCCAACGTGTAGAATGTCAAGTATGTATTCGAATATGGTACAAACTGAACATCAACAACGACAGGACGCGGGACGTGGAAATGTATTGGGCAATCGGGTCCACACCCCCCTCCATTTTGCAAAAAAAAACATACAGAGCTAGCAAGGAGAGAGGAGGGAGGAGAAAAAGAAGGACAAGGAGGAGGAGGAGGAGGACATAGGAGGACAAAACACCTCTGATTAAATCTAACAATCCTCACCTGGCAGGCAGGGAACAACCATGAACAACCACAGAGCGCAGGACATAGAAATGTATTGGGCACTCAGGTCCACACTCCCCCTTCAATACATTAGATCAAGGTATGGGATTTTGAAGCTACAGGTAGTGGAGAGGTACCCAGAAGCATGCCTTCTGGGGATCGAAAATGCTGCGATTTTCTCTGGATGTTCACGAATATCGGTTTCGAAAGGAAACCTAATTACAGCAACCCCCTGCTGTTCTGTTCTTGACATTCACAACTTCGCTGGTCACAAATTACTTTACTTCGAGTGATCCCCACCATGACATTTATCGATTTGTTACTGGCAAATCTTCTGGCATTCTATCTGACATATCTTCTGGCATTCGATCCGGCATTCTATCTGGCATATCTTCTGGCATATCTTCTGGTATATCTTCTGGCATGTCTTCTGGCATTCTATCTGGCATATCTTTTTGCAGATGTTCTGGCATATCTTCTGGCATATCTTCTGGCATTCTATCTGGCATTCTATCTGGCATATCTTCCGGCATATTATCTGGCAAATCTTCTGGGATTCTATCTGGCATATCTTGTGGCAGTCTATCTGATATTTTATCTGGCATTCTATTTGGCATACCTTCCCGCATTCTATCTGGCATATCTTCTGGCATTCTATCTGGTATATCTTCTGGCATTCTATCTGGCATATCTTCTGGCATTCTATTTGGCATATCTCATGGAATTTTATCTGGCATATCTTCTGGCATTCCATCTGACATTCTATCTGGCATATCTTCTGGCATTCTATCTGCCCGTTGAGGTACAGCAGTGCACACTGAGCTGGGGAGGTCCCCGGTTGAGGTCCAGCGGTGCACACTGCGCTGGGCAAATCGCAGGTTGAGGTCCAGCGGTGCACACTGGGCTGGGCAGGTCCCAGGTTGAGGTCCAGCGGTGCACACTGAGCCAGCGGTGCACACTGAGCTTGAGGTCCAGCGGTGCACACTGAGCTGGGCAGGTCCCAGGTTGAGGTCCCAGTGCACACTGAGCTGGGAAGTTGGCAAAGAGCTTGGCGAAGAGAGTTGGCAAAGAGCTTGGCGAAGAGTTGGCAAGGCGGAAGTGGAGGTGGAAGTTGGTGCAGACATGGTCGAGGAGAAACTAGAGGGGGAGGAGGAGGAGGACGAGGAGGAGGAGGACAGCTAGCCGAGGAGGAGGAGGAGAACAGCTCTGATAAAATCTAACAACCCTCACCTGGCAGGTGGGGAAAAACGACTGAGATCTGCTTATAGCAACTGCCAGCCTGCCTGATGTTTCAGGCTGCTCAGCCGTCCGCGTGCTGCCTTGCCCATCATCACAGAGAAGGCCACATGACCGGCCTGGGCACGGCTCATCCCCACTCAGCCTGGCCATATCTGAGACCTAACCGTTCCTAACCAAGTGGTCATTGATGGTCATTCCATGGTTATCCCATCAGTTTTTGAAATAAACCATAGATCTCAGGGTGTTTTCCGGCAGACCTTGGTACATTGGTCTCGATGAAAATGGCACGAGTGCGCATCTGAGGCCCCCAACCACAGCACAAATCACCACCACTAAGGTCATCCATCCAATTGGCACAATGACCTGAGTTCTAACAGCTGGCCGTGATGGAACTGAGTGCATCCAAGCTGAGTGCCAAAACGGCACTCGACTGGCTGGTGGGGATTGGCACTCAGCACAGCGATGAAATTCTTACCAAGCAATTTCAACCTTCCAAATATCTCGATTTGACACCTCTCATCTGCTTGGCTCTGCACCAGGTTGATCACATTGTTGTCTAAACCTGCCCACAGGTTCTTCTCTAGTGTTATGTCACAACCAGGCTGTCCATCAGCCGGCAGCATCAAAAATCAGTTTTTCACAGAAACCGTAAAGTGTATCAAGATGTAGTAAGAGGATGTAGTAAGAGATAGTAAGAGGTCTGTTTGGTCTTTCCATCTGTCATCATCTGTCCAACAAAATCCCTGACAAGTCATGGTCGGACCTCCGAGCTCAAAGGGATCCTTGATGTTGCTGGTGATGTCGAACTTCCTGAAGCAGAACTTCTCCTCAGCACGTGTCGTCTTCATCTTGCTGCAAACCCATTGGAATTGGGAAATTCATGGAATGCAGGGGACCTGCAGGGGATTGAAGCAACAGAGTCAGCAACAAGAGTTAGGATTTCATCACCAAGGAATACCAAACATCTGTAAATTGGCAAACAAACAATCAAGGGGATTTCGACCTGTCATGCAGGATATGACAGTGACACAACGGTCGCACCAAGAGTCAGCTAACATGAAGTCTGCTGCGATGAGGAAACCTTGGCGACCATTTCAGTGAGACACTGACACCATCTGATCGGGTCATGGTGGAACTAACCCCTACATTAGCCGTTTGATTCGTTAAACATCCCGACTGTCACCAGTTCTTAAGCTCCTATTTGTTCGTGGTTGGTTCAACGTCTCAGTTTTAGGCTGGCTACATGCCCATCGCAAAGCATCATGGCGATTGCTGATTCTTAGGTGGTTGGATTGTAGTTAACATAGTTAACATTATCATTCATTTCAATTGTCTTGAATCAAACGTACGAGCACTAATTGAATATCACCATTTGATGAGGTCCTCTCATGTGCCAACCAGCTGCCAACCTTTAGAGGTCATCATATGTAAATCCGTTCAGTTCCCCTCAACCGTGCGCCTGAGAGTAGCATGGCAAAGACCGACCACAGCACGATGGTCTGCTGGAGGCAGGTCATGGCCTCAGGGTGGCGTGCGGAATTGGAGGATGTTGGATTGCAGCACTACGATATACTAAGAGTCTAAGAGTATGTGACAATAACCAATAGTGCAGATAGATGGCATAGATTCAATTGGATTGGAATAGGTTAGAGTACATTAGAATATATTAGAATGATAAATTTGGGATTTTGCCAATAGCATAGCAATGCCAAGGGGATTTAAACAACCAGAAGAAATAGGGACCCGCAAAAGTGCTTGGTAATGTTTGACCCTGATACGCCTTAATGCCCTTTATACCCGTAGTACCGCACAAAGAGGTGGCGGAAGTTTCAAGAATAAGAAACCTTATAGGAGAAGTAGGTTGTTATGATTCATGGATGGCAGGGCGAACCCACTGATGGACCGAAAGGTGGTTGGAGTTGTGCTTCTTGAAGTGATTGCAGTGGTCACCGGATGCACACCTGCTGGATGTAGTGTAGTTGTAGCGTAGTGCCATGGAGTGTAGTTGGAGTCGGAGCTGTAGTTGTAGGTGTAGTGGTAGTGGTAGCGGTATTCGTCGTTGTAGTGTGGTGTAATGTAATGCAGCACTGAGCAGTGCAGCGCAGTGCAGTGCAGTGTAGGTGTAGATGTAGTGAAGTGAAGCGTAGTTGTAATTGTTGGAGTGTAGTGTAATTAGCGTGGTGTAATTAGTGTAGTGAGAAAGTAATTGGTGTAGTGTAATTAGTGTAGTGTAGCGTAGTGATGCGAAGTGTAGTTGTAGTTGTATTTGTAGCTGTAGTTGTAGAGTGTGTAGCTCTATTGTAGTTGTTATGTAGTTGTTATAGTTTTTGTTGTAGTGTCTTGTTGTTGTAGTTGTAGTTGCAGTCGTAGTGTTAGTGCTAGTGTTAGTGTTAGTGTTGGTGTTAGTGTTGGTGTTAGTCTTAGTGTTCACTTTTCCCACATCTGATCGTCCAAAGTGGTCTGGGATCCCAGGTTTTTACACTTTTCACTTCGAAATGTGCTTCGCGCCACAACGGTGTGCAATTTTCCATCGCAACTTCCAGAAGTGGTCCGACGTTGAAGTGTTTTTGGCATTTTGACTTCCAAATCGCGCCACAGCTGCGTGCCATTTTTGATCTCTCATCTGGCCAGATGGCTCCGCCGCTTTAGCGAGCCTACTTTTCAATCCGGGGGCACAAAACATTGGAAAAAACACTGTGTTTCGCGACTTTTCTACATTTTCGCGCGCCTGCATCTTCTTTCTTCTGACTCTTTCTCTTCTCTGAGCTTGTGTCTTCTGCCTTTCTCTTCTCTGACTCTTGCCACCTCTCCTTTTCCATCTGTCCATATTGTCGGAAGTTTTGACCTCTAAACTTCCTTCGATATATATATATACATATCCCCAGAAAAACTGCCATCCTGCAGTCCTGCAGACCTACATCTTAGAATCCATGTCATAAGCTCAATCCATGATGAATTTCACTTGGTGGATTGGCATCCCAGAAAGTCTCATGGACACAGATTCAGCGCCCGACGTCCCACTTCGAAACCTCGTGGAAGGCCTTACGATAATCCTCAGGAGATCGAAGCAGTGACTAGCCACCAAATGCTATTGCACAAGCGAATTAAAGATCATGCTTCTGACCAGCTATGTCTCAAACCCAGGGAAACATCTTAAAGCCATCACCACCATCAGCACAAACACAACAACCACAACTGTCACGCGCCCACATTGTGGGATGCCTTCACCGTATAGGTCTGTGAGCATACGGGTTTGTGTATATATATATGTGTGTGTGCATATATGCATATGCATGTATACATAATATATGCATATATTAATATGTATATATCATGATATATATATATATCATAATTAATAATATGTGTATAATTATATTATATTGAATTATTTTTTTTAAAAAAAAAACATTATATTTTATTAAATAACAGAATATATATATATATACACATATTATATATATATGTATGTGTGTGTGTTATTTATATATATATATCATTATATATATATGTATATATGTAATTATATATATATGTATGTATGTGTATGTGTGTGCAAGTGTGCATGAGTACACAAGTATTTGCCCACGCCTGGGCGATACTCTACATAGCACTCGCGATTGTAAATACATATTTCTCGTAGCCCAAAAACTCATCTCAGAAGGAGGCGGGCAAAACCAACCACATGAATTAAAGAAACATAAATACTTTACTTCGTGTGATCCCCACCATGACATTTATACATTTTGTTACTGGCAAATCTTCTTGCATTCTATCTGACATTTTATCTGGCATTCTATCTGGCATACCTTCTGGCATTCTATCTGGCATATCTTCTAGCATTCTATCTGGCATATCTTCTGGCATTCTATCTGGCATTCTACCTGGCATATCTTCTGGCATATGTTCTGGCATATCTTCCGGCATATCTTCTGGCATTCTATCTGGCATTCTACCTGGCATATCTTCTGGCATATGTTCTGGCATATCTTCCGGCATTCTATCTGGCGTTCTATCTTGCATATCTTCTGGCATATTATCTGGCAAATCTTCTGGCATTCTATCTGGCAAACATTCTGGCACTTTATCTGGCATATCTTCTGGCATTCTATCTGGCCGTTGAGGTCCAGCGGTGCACACTGAGCTGGGCAGGTCCCAGGTTGAGGTCCAGCGGTGCACACTGAGCTGGGAAGTTGGCAAAGAGCTTGGCCAAGAGTTGGCAAGGCGGAAGTGGAGGTGGAAGTTGATGCAGACATGGTCGAGGAGAAACTAGCCGAGGAGGAGGAGGAGGAAGAGGAGGAGGAGGAGGATAGCTAGCCGAGGAGGAGGAGGAGGAGGAGGATAGCTAGCCGAGGAGGAGGAGGAGGAGGATAGCTAGCCGAGGAGGAGGAGGAGGAAGAGGAGAAGAACAACTCTGATAAAATCTAACAACCCTCACCTGGCAGGTGGGGAATAATATTTAAGTAAAAACAACAATCAACATAAATAAAGAAATAATAATATAAATTTATATAATATAAACGAATAAATAAATATAAAACCATATATATATATATGTATATTCAGCATCAGACTATATCATACTATATCCATACATACTATATCCATTGTCTCAGGTAACAACAATTGTGCCATTGGTCGTTCAGGGATGTTCAGGCTATCCAGTTCCTACAGTAAAACCTGTCAGCTCTCTGCCAAGGCACCGCTTCCTGAAGCGAACGATGGGTATAGCTGGGGGCCGTGGCAGCTACACTGAATGGCCCCTGAAGTTTAACATGGAGCCCCAACAAGACAAGCGGCCTTAAACAATGATGGTAATGATGGACTGTCGGAAATGTCGGGCTTCCATCTTCATTTTTGTGAAGTCTAATTTATGACTTTCTACCCTCGTGGAGCAGGGCCAACAGAAGAGTCTCTTTTTGGTCATGGCATACATTCAAATGCCCAAATTTGAAGCTTGCAGGGAATCCTTAGTTTTGTTAGTTTTGTTAGACAGTTCACAAACCAAGCAAGTTGGTAAAGAAAAGGACTGTGTGAAGGATCCACCAACTCTTGACCACACACATCATTGTCAGTTCCCCCGAGCCTTTGCAGTGAGAGCAGCTACAGCTGCATGTTCCGGACGGGGTTGGCTCAGCTCTTCTCCATCCTCGCAAGGATCGATCGGGACAATACCTGTGGGTTCCCGGACTACTGCAACTATATCGTGCAGAAAACTACGAGTATGATTCCCTCTCGTGAGAAAACATGTCGCCCTAGTCCGAGCCAAAGAGAAATTCCCGCAATGTTCAAAGCATCAAAACCGCACTGTCCTCGGAAATCCTATGTGCAAATGGCCACTACATTGATGAACGTTTTTTCAGGTCCAGCAATCTGATCCTGACCTTCGTGGGTAATTCCTAGGCCATCCTAGGCCCCAAGTCCTGCTCCACGGTCTTCATGATCCGCCAAGTGAAGAGTAAGGTTGCTCCCGCCTGGAGAACCAGCATAGATTGGTTGAGCGCCTCAACCCGATGTCCTACGTCGTAGGTCTTAGGATGTCTTAGGGACCGGTAGGGATGGGAAAGATAAATTTGGCACAAACATCCACCACCCAAAAGAACACGTGATGAATTTCCTATCCCTCTACTGCCTCCAACCCATAAATTGTGAGGTCAAAGAACCTGTTTGCGCCCTATAGGCTGGGCACCAACGTTGCTTGCGCTGTCTACCGTGCCAGTTCCCGGCAACCTACGAAAATTCATCTAACTGCATGGTCTGTGTGACTCTGAAACCATCAGATCATTACCCTCGTTCCAAAGAATGCCCCAAATATATCCAAATATCCTATACCATCCTATACAATCCTATGCTACCCACACCGACCCACTATGTCACTATGCCTGTGCTGCCGCTGCAAAGCCCGTAACCGCAGTCGAGATCATCGACTCGATCTCAGCGAAAGCCAACAGGACATCAGGACATGATCGTGGTTTGACCTGGACTTAGCATGATTCAATCTGCACAACTGAATAGTCTATGGTCAGCAAATAGATTGTTTGTCCCATGAACCATCCAAGCTTTTTTGGGAGATATGACCCAGTGACTGACAATTTACAAAGAGCGGGGGATCTTCCCAGGTGGGGGTAACCCAAGGATGACCCGTACAGGATCCTTGCATTGGGTTTCCGTGTTCAAGGGGAAGTATATCAGATCTATAAAACATGGATTTCTACTTCGGACCCCTCCATTTACATAGCATAGTTGTTTTTTTTTGCCTGGGCTTTGGGTGGATTTCTGGACTGCAAGACACACGGTTTGGACTATTTGGAGCTGTTTGGGGTGGGTGTAGGATGATTTGAGGACTGCAAACTTGCTATTCTAAGCTTGGAGTTACGTCTCCATAAGATTCCATAAGCACGTTGCCAGGGGCAGTGCAAAACCGCTGGGGGCACAAACGCTGGAAGAGTCATCATCCGCAGCAGCGCCCTGGTACCTCGTTGAGGAAGAGAGGCGCCAAATCTGTGCTGCGTGTTGCCAACCGATCTGTCAACATCTTACAGCCCCCTGGGCACGTCAGCAACGCGCCCACCAAGACCTGCGGGATGATACTCACCTCAGGTCATGGCACATTGGTTTTTTCTTTTGGGTTATTTCCTGTTATTTCCTGTTATTTCCATTTCTTCCATTTTCATAGTTTCTTCCCACTGGCAGTGACAGAGGTGACCCGTAGCTTGAGGTCATGGCGAAGATCACAGGGGTGGTCCCCAGCAGCATCTGCGGAATCTGCAACTTCAGAATGCCGCCTCAGGTGTAGATTTGTGCAAACGTATCAGTGAACTCATTGGGTGACCCAAAGGTTGATGGTCAACTAGCCCCAAGGAATAGAAAAGGCGAACCATTTTGAACATTTCAAGATGTGAGCAAAACATTGCAGAACGACCTCACGGCATGGCTAAGTGCAGCTATGCCACAAAGCATACTGGTTGGGAAATCAGGTCCGGCCACCAAAATGCAGACCTGCCAGGGCTCCAAACTCATGGATTCATTGCCAACATTTTTGCGGATATTTCTTGCGGGCTCTCAGGATATGAGATTTGTATATTTATTTGTGTATGCAAAATATGTGTGTATACACTCTACGGTATGTATATATATACATACAGACATAGCATGACATGACATGAGATAAGATTAGATTGCATTACATTGCGTTACATTTCAGTGTATACTTGTATACATTGCATCACATTACATCACCTTACATTGGGCGCCGAAAAAAATAATTAGATGGTTCAAGATCCGAAAATACACATAAAAACACAACATACTTCATGTTTGAAGCCAAACAGCCAAGATCCCTATTTGGAAGCACGTGCCTTCCCAAGGGACAGCCCCGGCTGCTTCAGGATCTTCTCCGTCGCCCGGGTGCCCACCTGTTGCTGCATAAAACTGATGCTAACCAATGCTTTACCCCAAGAACGAAACCTGGGCGGCCGCCAATGGGCCCCAGTTGACTGCGCCAACCACAAGGGCCACAAGTCAGGTGGGAATCAGCCACATCGCCGGCCTGATCAACACCCACCATCTGCTGAACCTTCACTGACTGCCCAGCACAGTAGCCAATCATGTACTGCCCAACACACCTGGTCAAATCTGCTGGAGGGTTCATCCACAGCAAGTTTGGCGCCCGCCTATCCCTCTGAGGTTGTTTTTTAACAGCTTGACTTTGGAGGCCACAGATCCAACATAACATACCAAAACGCACTAAGCTATCCCTATTATCCCCAAAGAAAAGAATTCAACTGAGGGAAGGAACAATAGCTCCTGCCAGCCAAGCATTCACACCCAGCCATGTGCCCAGCCACATAAGTCCTACAGCCAAGCAACGCAATATGCTTGGCGACAGAGCTGACAACTATTGCGGCCTCAGCAGGGCCATCGCTCCAGGAGCCCAAAGGATCCCCGAAGCGACCTCCCATCATCTCCCATCGCCGGGTCCAAGGTGCCGCCACCCCGACCATGAAGCCAGGCCGTTCTGGTAGTTGTGACTGCGCTCCCAAAACCACTCCCGCCTCAGCATGGGACATCGGTATTGTGTGGCCTGTGGGAGGCAAATGATCCTCAAAAAAAGTGCTCTGCCACGTCCAAAAAAGTCAGAAGGATGTGTCTACCACCCCTTCTTGATTTCTTGGCATTAATAATCATCGACCATGGATATCCATGGATTGTTGATAGTTTTCCACCTGCAACTACCACGGGATTCCCAATGTCGATTTTGCCATTGCAGCTCTCAGCCCAGTCACGAAGAGATATACAGCGCTTCCGGGAACGATGGGACACAGGAACATGCCAAGGCCAATGACGAAAATATACCCCTGCAGCGCTGGAATTAAAAGTCATCTGTTCCACAAGTGAAGTGAATGCATTGAGCAAAGAATCGGTGGACAGCCGCAGTCGAGACACGCAAAGGACCCAAAAGTTGATGTTGGCAGCCTTGGAATGAAATATGAGCTGTGAGCAACTCAGTTAAAAATAATGTCCAGCATAATGTCAGGGTGTTCAATCCAAAGGTGATTTGGAAACCAGTCCAACAAGACATTTTCTTTCTTCACCATCACCCAGCCGTTTAAGGTTACCTCATCCAAACTGAAGTCCACATGCTGCACCAGTCTAAGGCTGAAGCTCCAAGAACAGCATTTAACCAGGAAAAGAAAACATACGTGGCCTGCAGCAGGGTGAACCCAAGGATGCAGAGTCTAGACACGTCCCTTGTATGGTCCTTAATGCTAGGTCCCACAACACAAGGATGTGTTATACCATGTTGAACCGTAAGGCAAAATCACAGTAATCAGAAACACGCACACACGGATATATATATATATATAAATTATATTCGTATTTTATATTGCATTGTAGTTATAATATATACACATACATACGTATTAATGAAAATCACGTTTGATCCTGGAACTGAGGGTTATACGTCCTTGTATGCTTTCGTCCACAAGCACAATGTGATGGACTTAGTTTCCACCCTTGACTCTGAGACGTACAAGTATGTGTCTGATCCTTCTCGTGCAACCTCCTCTCTGCTGCTTTCTGATTTCAACACAGTTTTAGCGCCTATCAGTGTGACAACTGATATGTCTCAAACTCTGCTTCTCGCTGAGGCTGTTATCCTAAGGATTGGTCACTGTAAGGAACGAGCATGCCGTTAATGAATGTTAATGACACAAACCTGGATTCTCTGGGCGGTTCTATGTTTTTTTTGTAGAGACCTACACGGCCTACACGTGCTGACTGCGTTCCGTGGCAGCACATCAACTTCATCATCAACATTTGGGGGGGCCACTGATTTTAGTCAATTTTTAGTAATTATTGTTATTTTATAAGCATCCAATGATTGGGGTACCCAGTTTTGACCCCATACCCTTTTATATCCGGGGCACCTGCACACCAACTTCATGATGCTTTTGAGTGTCTCCCTTTTTTGAAGTTACGCAAAAGCTTTTACAGTCCTACAGGTTCACTCCTTCCATTCCCCAACCATCCACAAGCCATCCGCTGCGCGGCCTTCATGCCAAGCAGGAGGGCCACCTACCAGGCAATTGGTAATGCAATGTCCATGCAACATGTTGACCTCAACTAGATCAACTAGATTCCAACTAGATCAACTAGGGCTCTGGCGAACAACTCCCCCAGAAGAAGCACCTGCAGTGACAGCACGACATCGTTCTAATTACAAATGTTTCTGGTGTCCAATGTGATTGAAGGTCCAGCTACTGCAGCACAACAACCTCAATGGTTGCGTTTGGTAAATGCCAGGGGACAGCCCCCCCGTGATTGATAGATCAACTGTTTTTGCTTCCATTTTGTTTTCTACGTTTTTTTTTCTGAAGATTCGGGGCATTCATGGCATGGCCGACCACAACAGCTCCCCCATCGCAGCCGAATGCCTTTGATAAAATGCTGCACCAGTTCCAGGTGCTGCATTCATTGGCCACTCTCCGCCCAGAAGGCCTCAACTGGACAACTTCAAAGAACATCAGCAGACCCATGAAAGCACTTGGTTAATTCCAATGAGCATTTTACTGTTATGTTTGTTATTATTTCTAATTTCAAATTATTGATTTTTCAACTGTTTCAAGCATTTCTGCACGACCTTGAAGAATCCCCTGTGGGGCTCCCGGCGTAAATTTATCCGCGGGATTTTCAGCTGTGCCTTCACCAAGAACTGAACCGGGGGAAGGATGCAATTGGTGTCTGTACCAATAAACCACGTATGGTTGGATCATGTTGGATCACTTTGGATGCACATTCCTCAGACTTCTTGGAAACAACCGGAGACGATGGACTATGTGACTATATTGTCATATGGATTCAAATAATTCCACAATCTTCCAAACACATCTTCTTTCATACAACATGGCGGTGGCAATCATGGCAATCATGCCAATACAATCGTAAGCAGCACAAAAAACTGGCAGCATTGCCAGTCAGCATCTGGCAGATGCTTGGCCACTGCTTCTGCCTGGCCTCTGGCCCTTCGCATACATTGTCTAGCCCTGTCAAGTACTACCTGCACAACTCGCTGAGATGGGAAACATTCACATTGAAGCTGTGTGTGTGTGACAGACCTCACCACCATGGTGCGGTGATGTGCGGTGCATAACAAGAGCCAGAACCAGTGCAAAAACAGTGTAAACCCTCATTGTCCTGTTCAAATGACTCAGCCACTTTCATGCATATGCGATGTCGTGGAAAGAACGCTGCCCCCGCTATGTTCTTCCAATTGCTCATGGCGTCTGGCAGCTTAGACTTGTCATGCATTGCCATATCCGTTGCAATGTGTTTGATCTTCTGAAGAAAAGTTGAAACTTGGCGTGTGCTAACCAATTTTACCAACATGTAATATGAAAACGATTCCAAGATATTCCAAGGGTAACGTGATAAGACAAGATTACAAACATTAGCCATCATTCTCATGATGAATTTGTATCACCAGCACTTCCGAAGTCCCATTGCAACATCGGCGGCTGGTCATCGGCCAAGTTGCCATCAGCGGGATAAGAACGTTGAGGCAAGCCACCGCCACCGCCTCAGAGTCTGAGGGCACCAACCACAGATCGCATGAAACCCTTCTCGTACTCACGCCATAATTCAACATATCCAACAATGTAAAAAAAATGTAAATTTACATATAGATATGTTTGGCACTGTATGTGTCATGCTTACTTACACTTCATAAATACTTAATTCAACAATATTCAACGTGGCAGTGCGAAGCTTATTTCAGATATTTCAGATCGAATGTCTAAGAGGTTGATTATGACATGGGATTAACATGGATTAACTGCAAGATGGTGAGGGCAAATCAAGACCTGACATGACTTGACAGCAAATGCCAAGATATGCCAAGATGCTCGCACCCAATCGGATCGCAACACCTTTAGCAGGTTTTCTGCCTCAGTTCGCAGGGAGATCTCGAAGGTGTTCCAGCCACCCGGCCTACATCAGCTGAGGATTTCCCATGATTTCCCACTATCCACTGGCCTTCACATATTTCAACATCACCCAGGCCCACTGCTTCTGACCACATACTTATCTTGAAGAAACATCCATCGTTATACATACTGATTATCCATGTTTAATGTATTATATTTTTTTTTAGTCGCAACTATGGTGCAAATGTTCCCGCTTTGTTGGTTCATCGAAAACATCGCCCCAACTGATCAAGGCACCATCGTTCCCTCGCTCGCCAGCCGTTTCAGCTGTACCGGATCGATCTCAACGTACATCCTGCCGGTTGCCAGGATCGCTTGGATAGCCCTGCATCGAAAGCAGAAGGTTCTGAAATCCGACTAGAAGAACTATTTGTTCAAAGCCATTCGTGGGTGTTCTATGTTGATTGTAACAGATGTCCCTGCTTTGAAATACTTAAACGCCATGCATACATAAAGTGAAATTACGCAACTAACAGACATGCCAACCACGATAACTATCCACTCACCAAGTGGCATGATGATTTTGGTGAACATTGCAGGCATGTTCCCTGGTGAACATCCCAACAGGTGGCTGGAATAGATGAAATGTTGGGATATGTTGGAAGTTGATGGAAGTTGGAATATGGATTGTGTCAAATCTTCATAAATCTTCTGGGTGCTTCGTCAGTCTTAAGATCTTTAATCCAGCAATCATTTGGAATGGTCCATATGGTTAATGTTTATCCATGTTTGCAATTTTTTTTCTGTGAAATTCTGTGGGATTTCCAGGCTTTCCAGGCTTTGGCAACCTTAGATAAACGGCGCCACTTAGAATGTTGCTTTAAGTCACCAAGATTTAGCCAGGAGCCCAGGGTCAACATGGTCAACCCCAGTCCAGCCCAACGTGCCCGCAATGATGACTGCCCCTAAGCAGAACACTGCAGAACCCAGTTGCACGGCAGAGCCGGAAACCTCGCAGTATGATGCACTAAGGATGGGGGACATGCTGTGCACCAAGGGATCGACGAGTTTGACCCAGGCTGGGTCTACAACCGCAAACCCGGATGTAACATGATGAGCAATCAAGATGGGACTAAGTGACTAAAGAATGCCGAATGTGGATACAACATGGTACAACCAACAATACAGCAGGTGGATAATGATCTCGCGTTGGAATTTGGCATGCAGGATTTGAAAGAAGTGGCCATATTCACATCTTAGCTGAGCGGAAAAATTGCGCCTTTTCAAACAAGTGCTGCAACGTAGATTTCCTCTCGTCTCTCTCATCATCTCGTTTCTGACTCGGGGATGACGTGTTCTAATCTTTGGACATTTGCTGCTCTGCAGTTTTCACTTCCTCCAGTGCAGCCCTGTCACATACGAGGCAGCTGCGTACATGGCTGCAAGCATTAACCTGTTCAACTAGCAGCAAAAAAAGCGGAATGACATGTGTTGAAGCCGAAATCCATCTGACCCAAATATGAACTTTGTGAGCCCAGGCATTGTGTTGGTTTCTTTCCCGAGTTCCCACTGAATCCAGGCACTCTCTCAGGCCATAATTGGTGATCAAGCGACACTATTACCAGCACACTGCCCTTGAGGATCTGCTTGAGATAGGGCAAAGAATCTGCCTGACAAATGATTTGTGACACTCTTTCGTGGCATCTGTCAATTCAGTTCGAGCATGTTGGAACCGTCGGTCACATGGCACCCTGACACGTGCCAAACATGCCATTGCGATATACCTGGGTCTTTGCGGGAAAACACTTCTTGATATTTTGTCGACTCACTCATTCGGGTTCCCGAATATCGTGATCAAAATTGTACTGGTCTTTGACTATCGTGGCCTTTGACTTGGAGCGCGCCCTTCAAGTTTGGACACTGCCTTGCACACCTGTTTCAGAATCACCTGCTTTTTGCGGGTATAAGAAAAATGGTGTGGAGACTTCCATCCTGTGACGGGTCTTCTGCCCACACCCTGCTTTGTGTTACGGCAATGAAGCACAACTATTATTGGGACCCAAAGGCTGACAATTGAAATTGCTTGGCGTACGGCCCGTACGGCCAAGGGCTGAAACAGGGTTTTCCAAAAATATATCCAGCTCAAACCCACCTCCTTTATCCTCCTTTACATGATGGTACGTTTGCACAGTGAACGGGGAAACATGGAGAAATTTTCCTGTAGGAAGCCACGTCTTGATTTGGACCAGTGCGACATGATTGCAGCCGCGAAGCCTCTCCGTCTCCATTGACCATCACTACCCTTCGGGAGACGTGCATAAAGAGGTACACGAACAACGCCGTCACGAAATTGCCTCACAGGCCCAGCTCTCCATTGGCACGTGCCCCTGCTCCTCTACAAGTCCAAATCCCTAAATTCCCCAAAGCAATGGGAGAGGAAAAACATAGGAAAATTAGGAAAAACGTTTTGAACACGAGTCTTCGCGATTTTGAGACACCCAGTTTGAGAATGTTTGGGACCTCTAAAATTTGAGCGAGAGCGGAACTGCAAATCTGGAATGCCGCCCAGCGGCAGAAGGCAAGTACAAAGGGACCGGTCCATTGCAAGAACCAAACCTGAGTTGCGAAATTAAGGTAGTGTTTGCGCGGCCTCCTGTGCACACAGATGCAATCATCGCATACATGTTTACAGTTACATTATACGCATACACATGTTTTTTTTTAAAAAAAAACATATACTGTCATATAATAAAACATAATATAATATAAAATAACATAAGAAAACATAATATACTATAATATACTGTAATATAATATAATATAATATGATATAACATAATATAATATATATAGTAAAATATGATTTAATATAATATAAGATAAGATAAGATAATAGAATAGAATATAATATGAAATGATCTGATACAATAAAAGATAATATGATCTAAGAAAATATAGTATGATATAATCTGCAATATAATATTATGTAATAGAATATAATACTATAAAAAAAATAATATAAAAGATATAACATATATATATATATATAATATACATACACTTACCATCCTGTAATCTGTCCGTTATGTGAATGCATGTTTCTGCGATGTGTTTCGTGTGCTCATGGTTTATGATGAGTTGGCATGTATTAATTGGTAGTTTTTGTTTCTCTATCGTTGGCTTTCTATCTATCTACCTATCTCTCTATCTCTCTATCTCTCTATCTTTCTATCTGCCTATCTCTCTATCTGCCTATCTCTCTATCTGCCTATCTCTCTATCTCTCTATCTCTCTATCTCTCTATCTCTCTATCTGTCTATCTATCTGTCTGTCTGTCTGTCTGTCTGTCTCTCTCTCTCTCTCTGTATCTATCTGTATCTACGTATATATTTATTGTGGCTCTATCTATCATTACCTATCTGTCGTCTCAGACGTCTCTGTCTCTGTCTGTGTCTCTGTCCATGTCTCTGTCTATCAAATTTTTGATACCGGGAGTTTCCCGCAATGCCCCACAATATTCTGGCGACAACTGAATGTCGAAAATTCTGATCATTTCAGGTCAGGGATTCAAATCCCGTTTGACTGCACCTTCGACCTGTAATTACCTGTAACAGGTACCATCCAGTACCCAAACGAGTTCAACCTGCAAATGAACTGTAGCTATTCGATGGGGTGTCTTTCACCAACGCGTCCCCCTTTATGCCAACCAAAGCATAACTCTTGTCTGTTGCCGAAATCCGCATATTTGCTACTCATATCCACCTTCCTGTAGGCAAATCCCGCTGTTTGCCTCATGGCGAATGTACGCATTTTGACGGGGTTGAATCTACGTTTCTGCTGGTGGTTACCCCAACATCTCCAAAAGTACCGTTGCCGGTGACCCTCCAAGCAGCGTTGGCAGCAGACGTGCACGCCGCAAGCAGAATGGCCTGCTCGTCATTACCTCGAAGTGATGGAGGTCCCCCCTTGAGAAGCGCAGCACCATTGAAATATATTGAAATAGTATGGCGCATGTTTTAATAGTTAAAGCATGTTTTTTACGGGTCCTTGAAGGACCGGTACAACCAACAAAAAACGGAGCAGTTTCCTGCCAGCGGAGGATGGACCCTTGAGCTACTTTGACTCTTGAAGGATTGTTTCCCAATTGTCCGCCCCTAGATAGCCGAAGTTGAGGATGCATTTCTTCTACATGCGGTGCAGAAAGGAAGCAGGCAAGCAAGCAAGCGAGCGAGCGAGCGAGCAAGCGAGCAAGGGAGCAAGGGAGCAAGGGAGCAAGGGAGCAAGCAAGGTGTGCGGCAACAGGGGTTCAATTCAACTTTCAATTCATCTGCATACATGGCATGTGCTCATCCAGCAATCTATGAACATCACCAACCCCAACGCTTGCTGCCAAGCATCTGAAATGCGAAACGTTTTTCGAATTCGAACAATGAATCGTGTAGTTCAGGGTGGTTGTGCCGTTGGACCAAAGGTAGGCAAAAACGTCATTGTTCTCCTCTGTCAGCCATAGCCTCGGTGATAGTGGACTGTCAAAATCAATCACCTCAATAAACGAGTGATGGTTTCCATTTGGTTCATTTTTTTTCAATGACATACCATCCAAAGGATATATCACATTGTAAAACCAACCCGTACCATTTGGTGCCCTATGTTTTATGCATTTGATGCCCACAAGTAGCAGTTTTCCACCCTTTGAACTTGCGGTGTCCGCTGAGGACCCTACTTGGTCTCTTCTGACCAGTTGCGGCCGCTGCCAAACACGAAGATCAACCATGCCTTGGTGCTGGGTGCACCTAGCTGTGTTTAACTGGACATCAGTGGACCGTACCCATATGTTTTCCAATCTTTTGATCCTTTCACCATGCTTTGGCGCAACCCTGTCCCGCATCATGTCTTGGGGCATTTGCTAGGTTTTCGCTGTACTTGTGGGGCATGGAAGTGCATGGTCCATTCCCAACGTGGCCTTTGCAAAGTGGTTCTTTTGCATTCGCGGGCACTATCCAGCTTAAGCTCACATTTTCTCGCTACGACTCTACATCAAATGAATCTCTGTGGTCAAATACAGTATTTGTGGCTGCTATCGGTTCCACCTGGAAAATGACATTGAACTCTAACCTTGCGAGTGAAAGCTGCTGGCCACTTTTATTGTAGCAAATTACCAGATGTCAGTGGTGTAAATCACCATGCCCACGTCACCACGTCCTTGACCATGCCTTTCAAACTCTCGCACAGATATCGAAAAAAATATCGAATAATATTCAGAATATTGATTATATAATTACATCATTGGGGAAAAATATTCCTGCAACATGCACGGTGTAGCATATTTTGGCATTTCCTTAGCGAACCACCAGATTCTCAAAAATGCATTGTAGCAAATCTTGAACCGTTGCTTGTTGCAAACCCTGTGGGTATAAACTCACAAACCAAGGTTTCATATATTATAAGATACAATACCAGTAGTACCGCACAAGGCGGCGGCGGAAGTTTCAAAGATAGGAAACTATAGTTTCAAAGTTGTAGTTGTAGTGTAATGTAATTAGTGTAGTGTAGTTGTGGGGCGGTGTAATTAGTGTAGTGTAATTTAGTGTAGTGTAATGTAGTGTAGTGTAGTGTACAGTAGTGTGTCCAAGATGGTGTGCGTGAAAGTTCTGTGCGAAAGAGAGCATGTGACAAAGTTGCGTGCGAAAAATGGTGTGTCAAAGATGGTGGGTGAAAGGTGGTGTGTCAAAGATGGTGTGTGACAAAGTGGTGTGTGAAAGATGGTGTGGTGAAAGATGGTGTGTGAAAAATGGTGTGTGAAAGATGGTGTGGTGAAAGATGGTGTGTGAAAGATGGTGTGGTGAAAGATGGTGTGAGACAAAGTGGTGTGAGAATTGAGACAAAGTGGTGTGTGAAAGATGGTGTGGGACAAAGTGGTGTGAAAGATGGCGTGTCAAAGATTGTTTGTGAAAAATGACTCTTTCTCTTCTCTGAGCTTCTTCCTTTTCTCTTCTCTTCTCTGATTCTTCCCACTTTTCATCTGTCCATATTGTCGGAAGTTTGACTTCTAAACTTCCTTCGATCATCAGTGAGTCCAAAGGTATTTTTCGTGTAAAGTTTGCAGGCTTTCGCGGATTTTCTTGGGTTTTTGAAATTCTACAGCTGACTACCGGAACTGCACTTAGTAGGTGCAAAGTGAGTGGCTATAGAGGAATGTTCATAGGGGGATTTAGATTCATGACCAACCCCCCCCGCGTCTGAGGTGAGAGCAAACATGATCGCCACAAAGGCAGCGGAAAAAGTCATCGCTGCTGGCCATAAGAACCTTGGCGCATCTTGGGGGAGCACGCACTCATGGCATCGTTCTGATCATATCGTGTCAGGTCATGTCGTATCTATCCCCTACATGCCGGAATCAGGAGTATCATGAACCATCATGAGCCTTTCCCCTGCATCTGTTTGGGCCAAACACTTCTGTCCACTCCCGCGAACCAGAGCGGACATCAGCACTTTCCAAATAAACCTCGCTTTTCTATCCTTTTCTACCCCAACAAGTTCAGATGGGAAAGTGGAAAATGGAAAAAGGGGGAAGACTCCGATGGATTTGGTGAATGGCTGTGGCCATTTCATATAGAGTTCCAGCCGTTGAAAAATCCAAGCCACTCCGCTGGGGTGACTTTGCCAGGCCGAAAGACAAAGCCCTTGGTCATGGCATGGGTCAGTTTATGTAAGTTTCAGCGATGACGTGTTGGGTGTTGGGAGTTTGAAATGACTAGGTGACCATCCAGCCCACTGAGGTGGCCACCCGCAGCCAGCCCATGTAGATGATCGGCAAGGCAATGCACAAAAGCCCCGGTGCCTCAAACATCACTACAGTCACCAGCTGCCATCACCCGACCTGGGCCACTCCCATAGCACCTGGGCCACTGACACCTGACATCGATACGCTGAGGTACCAACCCAGGGATACACAATCCCTTTCAGGATGGCGGCGGCAAAGACAAAACCTGGAGCCAGGGCGTCCAGAGGAGAAAGTCAAATCGTTTGGACTGCAGGTGCTCCCACTATCTCCCACCTACCAGCAGTGTTCCAAAGAACATCTGAGCCAAGATTGGCCTTGGTTTGGGCAGGGAGGCATTGCGGGTTGGCTGCGAAGCATCTGGTCTCACCAACATACCACATGGACCACGTCATGATGCAGTTCCTTTGGCTCTCAATTGTGACTTGGTTGATGATTTCAACCAATCCCCCGATAAATCTTCCCCATGATCTTCCATTAGCTGGGGATGAAGCCGCCAACCAGCAACCCTTGATGATCCTCACCAAGTGGCATCAAATAAAAGTCCAAGACGAACAGCAATGCCATGAAGCCGCCCGCCGCCGCAGCGGCCGCATTTCCAGCCTGAGAATCTTGGGTACTGGTGAAGCTGAGGAGGAAGCATGGGAATATATGGGAATACTTTTGCCGAGATGCTTGATTCATGGTGGCATCAGCTACAGCATTGTATACCTCAGCTGGCAGCACAGCATCACGTGCTGACCCATTCGCGGTGCTGCGCCGATTCAAGATTTATGCGTTGTGGATTGTAGCAGCTTCAACAATTCAACCTATAAATCAGGAACGGCCTTTTTTCCATGCATCATAGAATCATAGATGTTATTCAAGTGGTCCTGATGAGCATCAAGTATGCAAACTTTGAAGGGCAAACTGAACCAAAGTTCAGGGTGCTTGAAGCTCCAATATGTCGAAGCTCTGGGCAACTGTCGGTGCCTCTACCCCACATCTCCGTGAAATCTCAACACTGCTGATGATTGATTGAGAGGTTTTCCTGTGTGTTCCTGTCCTCACGAGTAGAGCCCAGCCCAGCGCCAAGATGCGAGCGGGCCAATGCCCATTGCGGTGAATGCCACCTGAGCTCCGAGCGAGATATTGTGCCTTTATACGCGGATTATAATATTAACATGTAATTTTATATCGTTATGCATAGGTATATATATATATACATAATAATATACATATACAATATATATATATATATTATATATTATATATATTATATATATATATATATTATATTATATTATATATATTATATTATATTATATATATTATATATATATTATATTATATATTATATATATTATATATATAATATTATATATATATTATATATTATATATATATCATATATATAATATATATAATATATATTATATATATTATATATATTATATATATTATATATATAATATATATTATATATATATTATATATTATATATATCATATATATAATATATATTATATATATTATATATATTATATATATTATATATATTATATATATTATATATATTATATATATTATATATATTATATATATATATTATATATTATATATATTATATATATATTATATATATATCATATATATATATTATAGTATATTATAGTTTATTATATATTATATATTATATACTATATATATATATATATTGTATATTATATATTATATATTATCTATTATCTATTGTTATCTATTATCTATTATATGTTATCCCATTATATATTATCTATTATGTATTATCTATTATCTATTATATTATCTATTATCTATTATACATTGTATATTATATGTTATATATTATCTATTATACATTATATATTATATATATACTATATTATATGTACATTATATATTATATATATATTTATATATACATTGTATATTATATATATATTGTATATATAATTATTCACATAATTATCTATATCTATATATATATGTCTGTGTGCAATGTGCATTGCTTGGAGCGCCTTCCGCAATTCCAACAATGTGAGATCAGACTTCCAAACATTCGTTAAACATTCGTGACACATCCTGTCTCGATTCCTTCGCAGCCAAGGGACCACCCCAATGACATCCACCACCACGATGAACGGGGCAATGGATCCCAGGATGGCCAAATTCATCTGTGGCATTCTGCCTTGATGGAGGAACCCTGGAACGACCGTGGCCTGGGCTCGACAGCGCCATGACATCAAAGGATGAATCAAATAGAAGTGTGCCAGGGTGCCTTTTAGTATGCATCAGTATGATTCACTATGTGGATAAACATGCATCTGTCTCTCTCTCTCTCTCTCTCTCCTTATTTATAACTACATATACATATACATACATATATACATATATGTTAACATATATATATATATATACGTACGCATATGTATTTCTATCTGTATAAGTTTGTGTGTGTGCTTGTGTGCTTGTGTGCAATTAATTGGTATGGTCGGGCACCCACAGTGTTGTGTCTGCATGCCAAGCAGCTCCTGTTGAGCAGGCCCGGCCAGGAAAAGCCAGGCGGCCCCAAAGGGGGCTAGTGAAACGACTTACGGCTGGTTCTCCGGTGAAGACCCTTCAACTACCCAGGTTTATAGATGGGGCATTTATGTAAGTGTGTGTCTGTGTGTAGTTAGATGATGGGGTTTGACAGTTTGACACCTGCCCCTCTTCCGCCATTTGCAATGACATGCTTCTGAACTCTGAACTATAGGAGTGGATGGGTGTAAGTTGAACATGAGTACGTACATTGAGCAGTGTTTTGGGCTCAGATTCAGGAATTCCCTGGAACGAGATGACCAAGCCCTTTAGACAGCGTTGTGGACGACCTGTTGTCCCTGGAGTTCTGGAGGAGCGAGGCGTGCATGTTGTGATGTGCCTGCAAGGCCTTTTGTTTGGTTGACAAAAAAATGCACGGCCAAACTTTGAGGCCGACCTTGAGCCAACGAGTCAACGGGTTGCTGCACAATGCTCACAAAATAACAGGCCAAAACCTACAACTATGGCACCCTGGTAAAGCTGCCAAGCAGCTCAACACGGCTCAAAATTCAGTGGAAGTGGAATGCACGAGCCTTTCTCATCGCGTGCGCCATTGAACCCATTGTATTAGCATATATTAGCCGTGGCAGTTGGGATCCTCAGGACAGGTACTGCAGCATGTTTTTAACAGAGATGTTTGAAACTAGCAACTTATGCATTTTTTGTTCATATTTCTCTGGGGGATGCACAGCGCAGCGGCTTAAATCCATCTTTTCACATTGCGTTCCTTTGCCAACTTTTGGGCGAAACGGTCGCTTATCTACTCACTAAGTTTCAGTGTTCGTTCGTTCATCCCATCCCAAATCTAGATCCACAAATGATCCCAGGGCCAAAGTCCAGAGGCTGTAAGCTACATTGGCAATGAAATATATATATATATGTTAAAAATACACACACATGAAAGTGTAAGAAAGTATGTATGGGTGGATGGCTGGATGGAATGCATGCATGTATGTATGCATGGATGCGTCGATGCATGGATGCACGAATGCATGGATGCATGGATGCGTGGGTCCATGGGTGCATGGATGCGTGGATGCATGGATGCATGGATGCATGGATGCATGTATTTAAGTGTGTGTTTATGTTTGCATTTATAGTTGCATTCGCATTTGTGTTCTTTTTAATTTTGATAATATACAGTATATATATATATATATGAAATATACATATATGTGTGTATATATACATACTTATATATTCATTTATGTTATATTATATTTATATTCAGGTATCACTGCAACCCCACAAACACCCATCTGGTCATTGGCCTCTTTGACCTTCGGGTAAACCTAGCCGTCCTTTGGCAGGAGGTCTTGGTGCTCACCCTCTGCCAGCTGCCTCAAGGTCAAAGGTTGGTGCATTTTCTTCGTAGCTAGAAAACATATGCAAAAATGTCCGAAACATACCAAAACCCATCAGTTGAATTTGCACAATGTCAAAATTCCATAACCATGCGCTTTTGATGTCTACAAGTCTTAAACATTTGAGCATTGCAAATCACCTCCCACGCCCAGCACATGGTCAAACGCAAATGGATGAATTGATGTTGAAGGCAGCGGGCTAAGAGCATGGGTCTGGCTACGTTGGGACAGAAGCGTAAAATTCTTCGACGCAAACTGCGGAACCATTATTGTTGCAAGCCGCTCCGATATATAAAACAGAGCCCCGATGGTTCCTATAAAAGCGCCCCAATGTTTCATGAACATTAATTAAGCAATGATACACCAATAAGAATGGACAGTAAAGCCGGCATAAGTGTGCAAAGGTTATTGTCTGAACACATCGGTTCTGTGCAATTTTTAATATCACCACCGGTGCCACCAAGCAGCTCCATGTGTTGGTGTTTCCGCTCGTGTCGCAAGCAGCCTTCACGAAAGCCCGGCCTTCGGAGGAAAGACAGGTCAACCACGAGCTGCTTGCTGAAGCCAAATCACCCCTTCATTCAGATCATATATATATATACATATATATATACATCTCTATCTCTCTCTCTCTCTCTCTTTCTCTCTCTCTCTTCTCCTTCTTCTTTCATCGATAGTCTTCTTCAAGAACATGTGAAGGTGAAGGTCCAAATGTCTGCGTTCATCTTCAAAAAGCGTGGTGACAACTTGTCACTGGTCCAGCCCACACCTATAATCAAGTCAAATTTAGTGTTCGTGGTTATTAATGATTATATCATATAATATATATATATATATTATAATATTCTTCAACCTGGAGGCAACATTTGAAGCCATCCCCTTCCCAAGGCCTCTGCTGCAACCTCCTCAGGGGTCGCTGCTTCATGAATCAACGATGGGATGCTCAGTTTCTGTTAACAAACCTCGTCTCTGACGCGACGCCTCCGCAGTCCAACCCAAAGATATCCAAAGAATACATAAGAATACTACCATATACTACCATGACATACCATGACCATCCAGTCAGCTCCTGAAATACTTCTCCAGGTTTGGTAGAGCAACAAGTTTCGGCATGCCTTCGGGCTCCTCTTTCCAGCGATGTATACCTCAGATGCCGGAATTGGGGAAGGTCCCTGATCTGCCAGTGGCTACAACCAGGAGCCAAGTCACTGCAGCTGAATCTAGAAAGTTCCACACCCACCACAATGTCCTTGGTTAAGTCCATGGGTTGATCCAAGGAAACTCCATGAGTTTTACAATAACAATTCTGATCAATGCTGTGATCAAGAGGATTGAGTGAATGCACCACGATCGCGAGGATCTCAGGCCAAAGCAAAACATCTGAAGCCTGGAACACTTCATAACACGTCTAATTCGTCCAAAACACAAAACGTTCACCGAAGTTTAAGCACCAAAAGGCTGAAACTTGAGGTTTCGAGGAGAGTCCTTTTATTAGAAGCTGATGAGTTAATAAGCCCAATGGTCAAATCATATCCATCTGAACTTCAAAACAAAAAAAGCAGCCAGCTTTCGAAACTTGGAAAGAAGAGTCCGCCACTGAGAACTCGGGGCCAGTTATGAAAGCTCCAGTTTTGCCAATCTGATCTTCCACTTTTTGCAAGCGCTCCACATAGCCTGTGCCATCCCAAGGTATCCCTGCTACCTCTGTGACCTCTGTGTGGGTCTGAATTATATATATATACACGGATACAAACGCACCGTACGCACACCAATGCACACCATATGTATATACACATAATATGCAATAACAGTAACAATAATCATATACATCTCTCTCTCTCTCTTTCTCTCTCTCCATCGACATATCGAATATACACATCGCATACATAAATTATTAAGATCAAACAAGCAAAATCGACTTAAGAGGGGGAACGCGAAAGGTAGGCGATCAAGAAGGGGAAGCAAAGCCTCTCCGTGTAAAAGCTGGCTGTGTGTAAAAGCGTGCTGTGTGCAGAAACTTCTGTGCGTAAAAGTTTTTCTGTGTAAAGGCATCTGTGGGTAAAAGGGTCTGCGTAAAAACTGCTGTGCATCAAAGCTTCTGTGCGTCAAGGCTTCTGTGCGGAAAAAATACTGTGTGTAAAAGCTGCTCTAGGTAAAGTTTCTGCGTGCAAAAGTTTCGGCGTGTAAAAACTTCTTTGTGCAGTCTGTGTGGGCAATTTTTTGTGTCAAAACTTTCCTGCGTAAAAGTTTTTTTGCGTAAAAACTGTTCTGTGCAAAAGTTTCTCTGTGTAAAAAGGTTCTGTGTGTAAAAGCGCCCGTGTGCCTTTATTTATGCGTGTAAATAGATCTTTGTGCAAAGCATCGGTGTATAAAAACTTCGTTGTGTAAAACTTCTTTGCGTAAAAACCTCTGTGTGTAAAGGCGTCTGCGTGTAAAGTTTATCTGTTCACAAACCTCTCTGTGTAAGAGTATCTGCGCATAAAAGCTGCTCTGTGTAAAGGTTTCTGTGCGTAACGTTGTCTGTTTGTAGAAACGTATCGGTGCAAAATGTGTCACCACAGCAAAATCGCAAAAAACAATGAAACAAAAGAATCGAAACTCAAATGCTTGCTGTCGTTACGTTGTTGATGATGTCGGTGATGCGCGCAGGGCCCCACAAGGGGTCATGTTGGCTGCGTTAAGCCAATTCTTAAAAAGCCTTCTGGACGAAAAATACCGCGAATTTCCATGTTTTTGGCACCTCACAGGCCAAAAACCACGGTACTGTTACTGTTCCTGTTACTGTTACTGTTGCTGTGGCTGTGGCTGTTGCTATTGCTGTTGCTGTTGCTGTTGCTGTTGCTGCTGTTGTTGTTGTTGTTGCTGCTGTTGCTGTTGTTGTTGCTGCTGTTGTTGTTGTTGTTACCCCTGCAGCTTTTTTCTCAGTCTCGTAGTGGCCGAAAATCGTCAAATAGGTGGTGCTTCCGCGTTTTTATTGCGACTCTCGGAGCAAAAAACACTGTAAATACCGATGTTTTTTGCGCCTCGGAAGACCAAAACCACGGTATTGACGACGTGTTTTGCTTCTGGTAGCAAAAACCACGGTAGTTACACTGTTTTTTGGACAGCACCGAGCAAAAAAACACTGGTATTTGCGCAGTTCTCGGCATGTTGCAAGAAGAGATTTTTCCATGCAAAAGTCACAAAACCCATGTAAATTACAGTGTTTTGGGTCTGATTTTAGGGTTTGTGACGGGTGGAGGGGGTGGTCCTCAAATGAACAGCAATCGCCTGAATACAGTAATCAGGTAACTGGGCTGGCCAGCCTCCCCTTTACTTCGTAAAGCTAAACTCAAGGCAGCACCACTGGAGCTACCTTTCGTGATAAGAGATGGTGATAGATGGTGATAGTGATAGCATATAAGATTCACATATAATTAATATATGTATATATATAATTAATTAATTATATATAATTATAATTAATTATATATATAATTATATATATATATATATATAATTATATATATAATTATATATATATATAATTATATATATAATCTGATATAATAAGCATATGGGCGACTAAGTCATTGATTCTTGGAGAGCGCATGATGGTTTTCCAGGCTTTGGGGAACTATCTGTTCGTTTCTTATATTTATATTCCATTGCATTTTGAAGTTTT